GACTGGCAAGCCACCGCTCCACTGCCAACGCTTGAAATCCCTTCCTTCCCTGTGGATCATAGGACACTGCCATCTGCCTCACCTCTGGGCTTTAAATTATTTGAGATAGTTTAAGACAGTTTGGGCCAAGTTTCTGGTGCTTGAAGGTGAAAACATCCTCAAAGATAAACTTATTGTGGTAGCATTTTGTATTTTGTATCTTTCAAAAATCAAAAAACAGCAGGGCACAGTGGTGCATGCCTATAACCCCAGAAGCTGAGGCAGGAGGATTGCAAGTTCAAAGCCAGCCTCAGAAAAGCAAGGCGCTAAGCAAGTCAGTGAGACCCTGTCTCTAAATAAAATACAAAATAGGGCTGGGATGTGGCTCAGTGGTTCAATGCTCCTGAGTTCAATCCCCTGTAACTCCCCTCCTCAAAATAAAAAACAACCATGTTAATTGTAATGCATTCTGCAGTCATATATAAAATTAGAATAAAAATTTAAAAAATAAATAAAACAATCATGTTTGTATAAATATATCAAAATAGATTCTACTGTCATGTATGTCTAAAAAGAACAACAACAACAAAAAAAAAACACAACAAAACACTAAAAAAACATCAAAAACCATATGGTATGGAGGCACACACATGCCTATAATCCCAGCAACTCAGGAGACAGGAGAATGCCAGCCCGGGCAACTTAGTGGGACCTGGTCTCAAATTAAAAAAAAAAAAAGGGTGGGTGGGTGGGAATGTAGCTTAGTGGTAGAGTGCCCCTGGTTCAATTCTTGGTGCCACAAAAATTCCAAGCTGGGCATAGTGACACACATCTATAATTCTAGCACTGGGGAGGCTGAGGCAGGAGGATCACTTGAGCCCAGGAGCTAGAGATCAGCCTGGGTAACAGAGCAAGATTCCCCCAACTCTCTTTCAAAAAAGGGGAGGGAAGAGAGAAGGAAAGGGGAAGAAGGAATAAAGATATAAAGGAGAAAAAAAGAAAAAGACCATAACCCTATAGCCAGTAAGTAAGATTCCTCTCTTTGAAGATCAAAGTAACTGGAAAAAAAGGGGAAAAAAAAAAAAAAAGAGTAGTCAGGAACAGAGAGGGCAGGCCTGAGCTCTCTTGGAGGCCCACACAATCATTTGGATATTTGTACCTAATTTGTCTTGGAATTTGGAGTTTAGTAGAAGGACACTTCTGTCATCAGTTTGGTCCAAGCTGTTGGTTGTATCTGAAATTCAAGACTTATGTGGCTGTTATTATGACCTGATTTTTGCTTCCAAACCATTCGAGGAGAAAATCTTTTGTTCCTTTGTTTTGAAAACAGGTACACATCAGAAAAGCTGTGTTATTTCGAATACTGGTTATTTGCAAAAGGAGCCAACTCAAGTTAGGGTAAGTAAAAAGAAACGAAACGGCATGGTGTCTTCCAAACCCCTAGGGCAGTAAGATCCTTCCATTTGAAAGTCAAAAAAAGTGGGTAGGCAGACCTCATCCCTGCTGCTCTCAGTACAGCTGCTGAATTCTTCTCTAGTCACAGAATGGCACCTCTGCCCCTAAGTCCACACAGTGTCCAGTGCTCTGCAGCTCCTAGGTGTAATGTCTCCAGTGCAACCACCCACCAGCCAGATGTGGTGTTTCTCAGACTCAACTCCAATTCCAAGAAAAGACCATCTGCTCAGACACAGGATCAGGATTGTGCCTCTCTTGTCATATACGTTGGAGCTGAGGAGTGAGTCACACAGTTCATGGTAGCTTCCTGGAGGGGGGAATTATTGGCTTACAGGATAGGCAGCTCCACTTTGAACTATTCCTCACGACCAGATCTTGGGATAGAGAAGAAAATGTGTCTGAACACGCTGATACGTTAACTACAGCACGTCAAAGGGCCCTAATGGGAGATGTTAGAGAAGCTATAATTGCCATAAAGGGCACAAGGTTATCACTTAAGTCAAGAATGTGAGTGATCAGGAAGCAGACATTTATTATGGAACTAGGCTTGGGATAAATGAAAACCCACACCCTTATGTTTAAATATTTAAAGCTATAAAAAATGAAGCTAAGAAGCTATTAAAATTTATGTTCTATCCTCTTACCTTTGTGGTAAAATGGAAAAAAAAAATTCTGTACTGGGAATCGAACCCAGGGGCACTCTTATCACTAAGCTATCTCCTCAGCCCTTTTTTATTTTTTATTTTTGAGACAGAGCCTTTATAAATTGCTGTGGCCAGCCTTCAACTTGGGATCCTCCTGTCTTAGTCTCCTGAGTGGCTGTGATTACAGGTGTCCCCACCATGCCCAGCTGAAATGGAAAATATTTTAAATCTGTGGTTTAGGTGATCAAAAGTAGGCAATAGAATTTAATTATTATTGTGCGGGCTAAGGATGTGGCTCAAGCGGTAGCGCGCTCACCTGGCATGCGTGCAGCCCGGGTTTGATCCTCAGCACCACATAAAAACAAAGATGTTGTGTCTGCCGAAAACTAAAAAATAAATATTAAAAATTTTCTCTCTCTTTAAAAAAATAATTTATTATTGTGCATATCTGGGGATTTAATTGATGGGCTGTTGATGTTTAGATGAGTAAGAACAACACACATACACACATATGTAGAATTTATAAATGATTATATGTTTATCCCACTCAGTTTAACTTCCTTGCTTTCATTTCAGCAACATCCATAATTATATTTTTATAATCAAGATTTTTTTCACATAACTTGTACTCTAAAAATAGTTCTAGTCTAAAGCAAAAAACCACAGCCCGTGGGCCACAGGCAGCCTGTGGCTTGTCTTTGGATGGCCCCTAGAGCTCTCAGAATGGGCTCTACAATGTTTTAACAATAACATAAGACAGCTTATGTGGCTCAGAAAGCCTAAAATATTTATTATCTGGTCCCTTACAAAAACCTGACCCCCTAATCAAAAGCAAGGCTACTCAAAGTGTGGTCACTGGTATGATTTCTGAGTTGTGAAGCTGAATGTCAGTAGGTAATATGTTCCAAGACCCCAGGGGATGCCAGAAACCGTGGTTAGTACCAAATCTTTCATATACTATGCTTTTTCTTATACATAAATATCTATGATAAAGTTAATTTATTAATAGAACTCAGAAAGAGATTAACAATGATAGCTAGTAATAAAATAGAACAATTATAATGACATACTGTAATAAAAGTAAATGTGCTTTCTAAATATCTTAATTTCTCACTGCTCTTAGCAATTATTTTCAGACCGCAAGTAAACATAGAAAGCAAAAACTCTGATAAGGAGCCCCACCATACATCTGTAAGCACAACTCTTTGTTGAGCTGACATTTTTTCATGGAAGACTTTCTTGATGAAGGAAGCTATAAACTGATTAATTCGGACAGGGGTTTCTTATCTCCTGTGGACCAGCACTGAGCAATAATTATCTAAGGAATTAAAAAATTAAGGGTAACTATGGTCCTAAGTCTACAGAATTGACCTCGAGGGTTAATTGAAGCAACTCTAGGAAATTTAAAACTTAGCATTCCTTTTCACATTTTTAGAAATTATTTTTCTTCTAGAATATTCAAAGTTATCCATTAAAAGAATTTACAATGAACAAATATCACATTTAAAAATCTAAATTACTTGAAGCCAGGTGCAGTGGTACATGCCTGTAATCCTAGCGGCTCAGGAGGCTGAGGCAGGAGGATTATGAGTTCAAAGCCAGTTGCGGCAAAAGCGAGGCACTAAGCAATTCAGTGAGACTCTGTCTCTAAATAAAATATAAAATAGGACTAGGGATGTGGCTCAGTGGTTGAGTGCCCCTGAGTTAAATCCTCAGTACACCCCCCAAATTACTTGAATAACAACATCTTAAATCTACTTAAAAAGAAAATTATTAAAATATTTTTTATAAAAATAAGATTATTGTAATTTTGCCTTGTGGAAGAAAATCTAAGGTACAACAAAAATTTAAAGTTTATTTGAAAAAGAAGCAATTCACATAATCATATGTTCATTGGCTGCTTGTGGTTAGCCAAGGTTAAGTTTTGTTTCTGTCTAACAGAAGCATTTACCAGAAATGACAAAAGTTTCACTTGTATTTTGCAGTAAGCAGTGTTATGGCCGTCTTTAAGATCCAGTCAGTTTTGTTTGTGCAGGAATTCTTCAGGCCTGGTATCCTGCTTGAATAGCATTCAACAACCATCTGATTGCCAATGTCAAGTTTGGTGTCATACCTCAAGAATGATACATCTACACCTACACACACTCACCATCCTTACCCACCAGCTGGTGCATCAATGTGCATCTTATTAGGAGTTATTTTTTTGGCAGCCCTAACCACCAGGTCCACTGCCACCTGAACCAGGCTACTAACTCCTCAAGGCAAGGCTGCTGTCATTCACTTTTTGGAGTCCACAAGATAGAACCAAATAAAAAGATGTGTGGATGACGGTGATGCTGAATATAACGTTTCTTTCTTTTAACATTCTTTTTAGATATACATGACAGTAGAGTGTATTTTGACATATTATACATACATGGAGTATAACTCCCATTCTTGTGGTTGTACACGATGTGGAGTTACGCTGGTTGTGTATTCACATATGGACATAAGAAAGTATGTCTGATTCATTCTACTGTCTTTCCTATTCCCATCCCCCTTCCCTTCTCTTTATTCCTCTTTATCTAATCCAATAAACTTTACCCCCCMCACACACACACATGATGTTTCTGATTGTCATACGATTTGCATCAAATAATCCTCAAGGATCCAGCAATTGTTCTCTTGACCAAGGACACCAACCAATATATTCTTTTATGTGAAATCAGATGTGATGTTGTGATATACTCCTATGTGAAAATGCTTCATAAAAGGGAAGGCATCATACAGATAATTATTGTTATTAATGTAGTCTCCATTGCCCTGATCATTGAGAATGACCCTTAACCTTTGATTGAGACATCCAACTTGCCCTATCCACAAGCAAATTCGCTGATATTCATCTTGTTAGGGCTCCGTAGCCCTTGCCAGTTCCATTGTCCTCGATACCCACAACCAGTCAGTCTAGAGCTTTTCCTGTACTCTGCGCCTTTATGTGGAGCACTGGAGATGGTTCTTGAAGTAGTGGAGAGCCAGTTTGAACTGGACCCCAGCCCTGGTGTTGGTCCTGTATATGCTGTACGTCTTCTCCAGGGCGGCCAACTCCGAGTCCTCCGATGGACTGCGGGGCTGGTGACTGACCACCACATCTGGGCATGAGCCCACCAGCAGACTCCCCAGCCCATCAATAAAAAACTCTGTGAAGAGAGGGAGAGCGGGAGAAGAAATGAGAGCTGCCGCCAGAGAGCCTCCTGCATGCAGCTCTGCGAGGGCGGCCAAGGGAGAAGCTAGAGAGGTCCAGCTCCGTGTAAAGCCACACCCCGAACTCCAGGAACCTGCCTGTCCTGATGTGTTGGGAGGCAATAAACTCATTTCTCAGGCAGAGAGGCATGATCAGGCTTCTACGGAACAGAACTGTGGGCTCCAGTTTGGAAGGATTGAGAGAGAAAGGCAGGGGTAGTTACCAGCAGCGCTTTAATAGGAGAGGACTTCAGGGAAAAAGACTGCAAAGCAGAGCAGAGCTGTAGGGGGCATCTCAGATGGGCAGGGACAGCCTGGGAGAGGCACCGAAGTGGAAGACAGGTGAAGAGAGAGGGAGGCAAGAAAGATCATGAGCTCCCTAGTTTGGGGTGAAAGAGGTAGGAGACCCACTGGTGTGGCTCTTGGTGAGAACGCGCTGCGGCGGGGTACGCCCAGCCCGGCTCCCTTCCCCAGCTTCTCCTGCCTCCCACCTGAATGCGCCACACGTTGCAGCCGGGGATCAAAGCCAACTCTAAGGAGTCGCTGCGTGTGGGCCAGGAAGAAGTTGACTACGCCACTGGTCACCACACAGCGGGGGAAGCCGTCCAGGCGCTGGAACCATCCGTTCCTCTTGTGAAGACAGTCACCAGCCTCGCTCTGTTCCAGCAACAGCTTGAACTGGAACACGTTCCCCATCACGCTGCCACCCACCTAGCCAGAGGGCACAGAGATGTGGTTTGAGAGCATCCTGCCTCTTCCAGGAAGCTCCACTGGACCACACCTCCCGTGTGATGAGAATCGCACCTATTCTGGATTTGCCCTTCAAACCATCCCTCAGTTACTCTCTTCTTGCTCTGCGACCACAGTTTGTACTATACTGCTGCGGGGCCTTTTGGAGCTTTGAATTCCTGCCTTCCCTGATCTCCTTGATGTGAACAGCATTTCCCAAGTCCAAAAGTCAGGCAACTGCTACCTTATGTTCTGATCACAGGAGCACAAGCTCTCCTGATGTGCAAGATCTCTCAGCACTTCCTTCCATTATCTTAGTTCAAGCAAGAGGCAGCCTATTCTCAATGGTCCATTTGTGAAGTGTGCATTTGCCAGATCTCCTTGCAGAAGGCGATGTATCTAAGCTCCCTTCTGTCTGATCCTGGCTTACCTCTCTATGCTGCCTGTCCATGCACCCATGGGGGATAAATGCATTTAAATGTTTGAGCTTCAGCAAAACAGGATGAGCAAGTACGTCATCCTTGGTATCCATGGAGAGCCGGTTCTCAGACCCTCTGCAGATACAGAACTCCACAGATGCTCAGGTCCCTTTGTATGAAACGGCACAATTTCTGCAAATAACCTAAACACATCTTCCTGTATACTTTACATCTTCTCTAGGGCGGGAGGTGTAGCTCAATGGTAAAGCACTTGCCTAGCTGAGGTCCTGGGTTCCATCCCTGGCACTGAAAAAAAAAAAATCATCTCTGGATTTCTTATGGCACCTAACACAATGTAGTTGTTACACTGTATTGTTTAGGGAATAATAATAAGAAATGAAAATTTGTACAGGTTCAATATAGTCGTGACCCTCGAGTGTTCTAACTACCTAGTACATGTCAGCAACAAGATAACTCCACCCCCTGCCATTTTTGATCAGAGGTTGATTAGGTCCTCTGTTATAGAACTCACCAATACCAGGGGCAGACTGTATATCTAGTCCTGAAACAATCACCATCATTTAAAGGTGACACACTGAGGTCTACATTGTTCCTTCTCATCTTTTCCTTCTTCCTTACTTTTTATAAATGAACCCTCTGAGTTTTTAAGTGGAATAAATTTAAGTTGGCTAAAATCAATTAGCCAACTAAAGATGACATTTCCCACACCTCCTGCATCATAGTTTAATCTGGTGGCTAAATTCTGACTGGAGGGATATGATTTAGAACTAGTGTGTGCAACATCTAGCTCATGTCCTTAAAAGAAACCTTTGCAGGCCAGGTGTGGTGATGCACACCTATAATCCCAGAGGCTTCCCAGGCTGATGCAGGAGGATCAGGGTTCAAAGCCAGCCCCAGCAATTTAGTGAGACCCTATGGAACTTAGCAAGACTTTGTCTCAAATTAAAAAAAAAAAAAGAGGCTGGGGATGTGGCTCAGTAGTTAAGTGTGCCTGGGTTCAATTCCTCGTACACACACACAAACCCAGAAAAGAAACAGAAACCTGTTTGCCCTGGACTTCCTTCTCCCCCTTGTTTCTGGCCTGCAGGGGTGGGGTGGGGGGATCAAGGGGTGACAAGAGGAAGTAGTTGTCTAGGATGCTCTTGGAAGCTGACCAGACTGCCAGCATGGAGTTTCAAAAGAGCAGAAACTACACGTTCCCTCTTGTGTAAGCTACTGTGACTTGTTGGTATGGGGAAACCAACTATGTCTGAGTTCATTCAATGCTCTGGGGATTTTCCACTGTGGTCATGCTACCTTACCTTAGGATCCTTTTTTCCTTCTTTTTTCTATAGTTAATTGAAAAAAATAATTTTGGGGGAGGGTTACTGGCGATTGAACGGTGCTTAATCACTGAACCACATCCCCAGCCCTTTTTAATATATTTTTTGTAGTTGTAAATTGACACAATACCTTTATTTTGTTTTATTTATTTCTATGTGGGGCTGAGGATCTAACCCAGTGCCTCGCACATGCAAGGCAAACATTCTACCGCTGAGCCACATCCTCAGCCCTCCAACCTTTTTTAATATTTTATTTAATATTTATTTTTTTTTAGTTCTCGGCGGACACAACATCTTTGTTGGTATGTGGTACTGAGGATCGAACCCGAGTCGCACGCATGCAAGGCGAGCGCGCTACCGCTTGAGCCACATCCCCAGCCCCTTAATATTTTATTTAAAGATAGGGTCTCCCTGAGTTGCTCAGTGCCTTAATAATCTGCTGAGGCTGGCTTTGAACTCAAGATCCTCCTGCCTCAGCCTCCCAAATTGATGGGATTATAGGTGTGTGCTATAGTGCCCAGCTCAGCTAATTGACTTTTTTTTTTTTTGGTACCGGGGATTGAACCCAGGGGCACTCAACCACTGAGCCATATCCTCAATCCCTTTTATATTTTATTTAGAGACAGGGTCTCATTGAGTTGCTCAATGCCTTGCTAAGTTGCTGAGGCTGGCTTTGAACTCAAGATCCTCCTGCCTCAGCCTCCAGAGCCGCTGGGATTACAGGTGTGTACCACTGTGCCTGGCTAGTTAATTGACTCTTGATGTTTTTATTATTTTCCTCTTTTTAAAATGCCACTGGGGGGCTGGGGATGTGGCTCAAGCGGTAGCGCGCTCGCCTGGCATGCGTGCGGCCCGGGTTCGATCCCCAGCACCACATACCAACAAAGATGTTGTGTCCGCCGAGAACTAAAAAATAAACATTAATAAATAAATAAAACATTTTAAAAAAATAAAATAAAATGCCACTGGGGTCATGTGGCTTTTAAAATTTGTACTACAGGTTAAGCTTTCCTAATACTGAAATCTGAAATCCTAAATGGTCCACAACCCAAAACATTTAAGAGGCAACATGACCCTACAAATGGTAAATTCTGTACCAGGAAACTTTGCCTCATGCACAAAATTATTTAAAATAGTGTATAAAATTGCCAGCATGGTGATGCATGCCTGTAATCCCAGCAGCTAGGGAGGATGAGACAGGAAGATCTCAAGTTCTAAGCCAGCCTCAGCAAAAAGCAAGGCACTGAGCAACTCAGTGAGACCCTGTCTCTAAATAAAATACAAAATAGGGCTGGGGATGTGGCCCTGAGTTCAATCCCTGGTACCCTCACTCCCAAAATAGTATATAAAATTATCTTCAGGATATGTGTATGTATAAGGTATATACAAAACAAATGGATTTCACATTTAGATCTGGGTCCCATCCAAGATATCTCATTGTATATACACAAATATTCAAAAAGTTGGGGCTTGGGTGTAGCTCAGTTGCTAGAGTGCTTGCCTCACATGCCCAAGACCCTGGGTTCAATCCCCAGCACCAAACAAAGCAAATATTCCAAAAGTTTTAAAAATCCAAATTACAAAGCACTTCTGGTCTCAAGCATTAGATAAGGGTGGCTTTACCCTGTTTTTTTAAAAAAATGTTCTGTGACAGAACCAAAGCATGGCTCTTTTTAATCTCCCATAGGTCCTCTGAGGGAGTTGGAAGTGATGCACAAACACACCATTTTAAAAGTAGAACAACTGTGAATTTTAAGGGGAGGGTGTATTTGCTCAAAGAAAAGCAAGTGTGGAGGCAAAAGCAGAACTCACATCTCCCGATTCCTCGGGTTTCTTGTGCAGTGCTCTCAGGCCCAGAGCTGTGCGGACTTATTCATCTATCACCTGTGGCATCAGCTTCCCTCCCTCCCNCCACCCAGAGAACATATTTGGTGGTGACCTGAGATATGGCCAGGTTTCTACCAGCAAACCAACCCTGTAAGTGGCACAAGTTTAGATCAGCAGTTCGGACTTATTCATCTATCACCTGTGGCATCCAGGTCCCTCCCTCCCTCCCTCCCTCCCTCTCGGTGTCCTTTCCTCTCTTTTTCTCCAGCCTCCCCTTCTGTCCCTTACCACATCCAGCTCAGTTTTCTCCAGGACATCCACCAGCACCTCAATCTTGGTCTTGTTGTTGAAGACAAAGTCATCGTCCACCCAGAGAACATATTTGGTGGTGACCTGAGATATGGCCAGGTTTCTACCAGCAAACCAACCCTGTAAGTGGCACAAGTTTAGATCAGCAGTTGCCCACCTTGGCTAACAAGGAGAATCGCTGGGGATGCTTCCCAATAACCAGACTGTACCCCCTCATGGATTATGTCAGAATCTGTGGGGGTGAAGCCAATACACGGCCAAGGTTGAAAAGCACTGGGCAAAGGGAGTCCATGTCTCAGGGAAACACAGTAAGAGAGAGTGACTTTCTGGACAAAGAAAAGTTAGAAAGTCTTCATTGGGGGGTTGGGGTTGTGGCTCCTTGGCGGAGAGCTTGCCTCACACATGTGAGGCACTGGGTTCGATCCTCAGCACCACATAAAAATAAACAAGATAGAGATATTTAAAAAAAAGTCTTCACTGGCCTTGTGGACTCCATGAATGGACAGAAGAACTTTTTCACTTAACAGAATTCCTGTGATTCTTTTTCTACCTCCTAAGAGATGTGAAGTTTGGGGGACATCTGAAAAGTACTATAATCATTTCCTCCTTTACCCATGCAGGAAGGCATGTGGGGAAGAGAGAATTCTCTGCTGTTGGAGCTACACTTCAAGAATCCTTGGGATGTCAGAGACGGCAAGTAATTTATAAGGACCCCTTGTCATTTCCACACCAAATATAAAGGAAGATGAAATAACCACTTCTTAATGCAGAAATATGAGGGTGACCCGATTTCTTTCTGAATCTGGAGTTAGCAAAGGGACTCAGGGAGAGGCCCCAGGCCCTCCCACTCCAGGACTCCTCTTGTCTTTGGAGACCACTATAGTAGCCCCATCAGGGCAGAACTTGACTCTGGGGCCCTCTTGACCAAGGAGCAAAGTACCCCCAGACCTGAGAGGGACATACCTTCCCAAAGGGCATTGTATAATACTCCACATAGTCATCTTTAATTTCCAGGGGCTTCTTGCCATCATCAGCCACGATCACAGTCACATCTGGGTAATACTCTCGAATACTCTGGAGTAGGACCTTAAGCTTGTGGGGACGGAGGAAAGTCTTGGTGGCAATGGTCACCAGATTTCTGAGCTTCTTCTCTGAACAAAAAAAGAGTAGATGCAGAGTTTTGTCTTGTAGGAAGCCTCACTGTCTTGACTTGTTCTCTGATGTTGCTTGGTTTTATTTTACCAGTGCTGGGAATCGAACCCAGAGCCTTACACACTAGGTAAGTGCTCTACTATTGAACCACGCCCTAGCCTCCTGAGGGCTTCTTCTTTTCTTCCTTTTTTTTTTTTTTGGTACTGGGGATTGAACCCAGGGGTCCTTAACCCCTGAGCCACATCCCTAGCCCTTTTTTGAATTTTATTTGGAGACAAGATCCCGCTAAATTGCTGAGGCTGGCTTTAAGCTCACAATCCTCCTGTCTCAGCCTCCAGAGCCCCTGAGATTACAGGTGTATTCCATCGCGCCTGCCCTGAGGGATTCTTCATGCCACATGTCACTTGATTGGAAACTGAAAGCATTGACAACACCCAACTTGTTGAAATTTTACATCTTTTCCTTTTCCTGGTTCTGTGAGCTCTGCTATGCCATCTTCCTACTGTCTGTTAGAATGCTTCCTTTTTTTTTCTTTCCACTCACTCTTTAGCATTTTACAGGCACCCTGCTTCCATCTTAATACTAGAAGTTAAGATGCTCAGAGTTTCACCACTCAAGAGGTCCAAGGAGGAGAGTCACAGACCCCAGGTCTTAAGAAATTGAGACCTGTTCCTGCCATCAGATCCAAGCCCTAGGAGAAGCCTACCTGGTCATTCTCCTCAGGAAGATATGGAAGGAAGGAGGTCCATTTGGAGACTGCAAGGCCTGGACTAAATTGTCCATCTTGAGGCACGTGACTTACGTAAAAGACTGGGGAAAGGTCAGCTTTTCCAAGGAGAAGATCCCATGATGAAACAACTGGAGCTGGTAGGTGGTCTGGAGTCAGCCAGTGGAGGCGGAGCCCTACCCCCCAGCTGAATTTGGGGATGTCAGCAGGCTGGTGTGGATGGAGTTAGCTCCTGCTGAAAGTCCACCCTACTACTGTGGGTAGGTGAGCGTGCATAACCCCAGGCAGAGCCACTTTTTCAGAATGACAGAAATCAGAAGTCATTCCAGAATCCCCTTAAAAATTTTGTCTTCCACCTTTACTTCAGCTCCTAGTGAATCTGATGGAGGGAAAAGACACCAGTGGAAAGAGGCAAGTAAAGCGTCCTCAAGCTGGGGGGTGGTGGTGCAATCCTGAAATCCCATTCACTATGGAGGCTGAGGCTGGAAGATGGGGAATTCAAGGCTAGCCTCAGCAATTTAGCAAGGCCCTAAGCCACTCAGTGAGACCCTGTCTCTAAATAAAATATTTAAAAAGGGCTGGGGATGTGGCTCAGTGGTTAAGTGCCCCTAGGCAAACCCCATACCAAACCCCAAACCCCATACCAAAAAAGAAAAAAAAATTGTTCTCAAGACCCTGCTGAACCAATCCTCCCTCCCACCCCCTTTAAAGCCTTTAAAAATGTTTTTTTTTCTTTTTTACCAACCTAGATGTCCTTCAGTAGACAAATGAGTAAAGAAAGTGTGGTATATATACACAATGGAATATTACTCAGCATTATAAGAGAATAAAATTATGGCATTTGCAGGTCAATGAATGGAGTTGGAGAATATCATGCTAAGTGAAGTTAGCCAATCACAAAAAACCAAAGGCCGAATGTTCTCCCTGATAAGTGGATGCTGATCTGCTGAGGCCAAGTAGGTATGACGCATCGTAATCCTTGCCAGTGTACCCCATGTTAAATGGACTTGCCTTGGAAATTTGCTGCGACCTTGCTTGTGTGTTTGAGAAAGATGACCCTGCTCAAGGTGATCAAGGGTGGATCCAGGTTTGAGGAAGTATCCTGGTCCTTGGGGTTAGGGTGTTCCCTGTTTAAGGCGTTTCCCGGTTTAAGAATATGGGTTTTAGGGAAGTTGAGGTTGAAGATTATTGCTGCTGGGATTAGGGTGTTCCTGCGGCTTGTTGAGTTCTCGTGAGATTAAAATGGGATTTGGAAAAAGCCTCGTGGARTAGGATTTGGGATCGGACATATTGGAATTGCCCCTGAACGTGTGTGGAGGCTGGTGTGAGATCGGGAATAAAGAATTGCTGTTTGAACCTRCAAAGCTGTGTGGTGGCTCGTGATTCTGTGCCAAGCCGAGACATTGGCACTTGGCATCTGGCACTGATCCATAATGGGGGAGGGGGGCATGGGAAGAATGGAGGAACTTCAACTGGGCAAAGGAGAGCGAGGAGAGGGGAAGGGAGTGGGCATGGGGGTAGGTAAGATGGTGGAATGATAATTACCCTAGGTACATGTATGACTGCACCTATGGTGCGACTCTACATCATGTACCACCAGAGAAATCAAAGTTGTGCTCCATTTGTGTACAATGAATCCCTCCCTTCCTTCCTCCTTCCTTCCTTCCGTCCTTTCTTCCTTCCTTCCTTTGTACTAAGGATTGAACCCAGGGTTTTGGTCATTCTAGGTGAGCACTCTACCCCCGAGCTACTTCCCCAGCCCCCCCATATGCACTTTTTTTTAGCATCAAATATTTTAATTGATCTATCCACCCATTTATTTATTTATTTAATATTTTTTGATACTGGAGATTGAATCCTGGGATGCTTAACCACTGAGCCATATCCCCAGCCCTTTAATTTTTTAATTTTTTTTTTTTTTTTTTTTTTGAGACTGGGTCTCACTAAGTTGCACAGGGCCTGGTTTTGAAGTTGTGATCCTCCTGTCTCAGCCTCTGGAGTCTCTGAGATCACAGGCTTGTGTCAGCACATCTGGATTGAACTTTTTTTTTTTTTTTTTTTTTTTTTGGTACCAGGGATTGAACTCAGGGGCACTTAACCACTAGCCACATCCCCAGCCCTTTTTTGTGTTTTATTTAGAGACAGGGTCTCACTGAGTGGCTTAGGGCCTTGCTAAATTGCTGAACTGGCTTTGAACTAGTAATCCTCCTGCCTCAGCTGCCTGAGTCATAGGGATTACAGGCATGTGCTTCTGCACCCAGTTAGAGCATGTATTTTAATCACTAAAAATATTGTGGAATATAATATTTTTGTGAACTGAGTGCTTTACCAAAGGCCTATTGGATGTTCTTTCCTTAATAATTTATAGGTGTTCTTAAATAAAATTAGACTTTAATGTGTGTTGAAGATGTTCATTTCCCCCATGTGTCCATTGTCATTTGACTTTGCTTATGGTGGGCTTCTGCCATAAAAACATTTTAAAATGTTATATATCTTTTTTTGGGGGGGTACCGGTGATTGAATTCAGGGGCACTTGAACACTGAGCTACATCCCCAGCCCTATTTTATATTTTATTTAGAGACAAGGTCTCACCGAGTTGCTTAGTACCTCACTTTTTGCTGGGGCTGGCTTTGAACTCACGATCCTCCTGTCTCAGACTCCTGAGCCACTGGGATTACAGGTGTGGGCCACTGCGCCCAGCTAAAATGTTATATCTTATGGTTTTAGTCTCTGGGCTTTGTGTCATGCCTTACATGCCAGCATTACTTTTTAAATTCTATGGGTTTTTTTTAGTACTTTAAAAATTCTTAGATGGGCTGGGGATGTGGCTCAAGCGGTAGCGCGCTCGCCTGGTATGCGTGTGGCCCAGGTTCGATCCTCAGTACCACATACCAACAAAGATGTTGTGTCCGCCGAGAACTAAAAAATAAATATTAAAAAAAATTTTCTCTCTCTCTCTCTCTCTCTCTCTCTCTCCTCTCTCACTCTCTCTTAAAAAAATACTTAGATATCTAACCTATTTGAAATTTATTTTGCTATGAGTTATGATATAGATTCAACTTTTTACCTTTCACATAGCTACACAGTGATCCCACATGATTTCTTGACTAACCCATCTTTAAATTGTTAATTTGCCCCATTTAATTTGAAAAGGTACTTTTATCACACTGTGAAATTCCAACATGTATTGGGTCTATTTCTGGATTTCCAATTTTATTCCAAAGATGTACCTGTTCACTCTCCAGTACCACTGTTTTTATTACTATTACTTATTAAAATGTTATAAATCGCCAGTCACTCACACTTAAAATCGCCATGACTCAGGAGGCTGAGACAGGAGGATGACAACTTCAAGGACAGCCTCAGCAACTTAGCAAGGCTCTATGCAACTTAGTGAGACAATGTCTCAAAATATAAAAAATTTTTAAAAACATGGTGGAGAGGGCTAGGGTACAGTTCAGTAGAGTGCTTGACAAGCATGTGTGAGACACTGGCTTTGATTCTCAGCATCACATAAAAATAAATAAACAGGGCTGACATTGTGGCTCAGTGGCAGAGCACTTACCTTGAGTACGTGAGGAATTGTGTTCGATCCAGAGCACCACAATAAATAAACAAATAAATAAACAAACAAAATATAGATCATGCCCATGTCCAAGTAAAAATAAATAAATAAATAAATAAATAAATAAGCCATGTATAGCCAAAGGAATGAGAAGTTGTACTCCATTTGTGTACTATGTGTCAAGCTGCAATCTACTGTAAAATAAATGAATTAATTTTTTAAAATTTTACTTGCAATAAATAAATAAATAAAGGTATTGTGTCCATCTACAGCTAAAAAAAATTTTTTTTTTAATGAGAGGGAATATAGTTTAGTAGTTAATTGACCTAGAGTTCAATTCCCAGTACAAAAAAAAAATTAAAAGTTATAATTTTTTTTTTCAAAATAAGCAGGAACCACATAGAAAGTAAATACAGTGAAGCAATACTAGGGGAATGTGTTCTAAATTTTTTTTCCCTTGAACAAAACTTGTGCTCAAGAATCCTACCAGCCCTGTGGGTGTGATCAGTTTTCCTCCATCTCAGAGGTATCCCCTCCAAACTTCAGAGGTATCCCCTCCAAATTTCAACCAGTAACTCTACAATACCACAATGGAGCTCCAAGGTCAAGGGACTTACCTGGTCCAGGGTCATACAACTTGGGTATGACCGGATGGCGGATGGTCACTGGGAACTTGGCCACTGAGGATTTGGATGTCAGAATCACTGAAGGGAGAAAACAGGTCAAAGCCTGAGCAGCACCACATCTGGGTGGAACTCCACGCTACCCCCAGGAAGCTGACTTGATGGGCTCAGGTGAAGGTGGTGGGGTGAGTCCTGGCAGGGACAAGATTGAGGACTCCACAGAGCCTATGGCCTGTGGGCTCCTGACTTGTCCTTAGGGTAACCTGATGAATGCCTCCGAAGCTCTCATTCTCCCCTGTAAGAGTGTGCTGGGGGGAGTGGGCTATGGATCCCAGAGTCTGGATTAAGATTGTGCCGTGTACTCTCTGAAACACCTTGAAGAAATCACTTCACTGCCTTCTCTGCCTACAAAACCAGGATAACAGTACCAGCTCTGTTTCACCTCACAGGGTCATTTTCTGAAGGGAAACGTTTTAAAACTTGAAGGTGGAACGAACTATCTTTTTAGCTAGGGGTCATGAGTGATCTGCCCCATGTTGCATTTGTCTTCTGTTGGTGTCCTGGGAATGCATCCTGTGTGGCTAGTGAAGAGAAAAGGGTGATTTTAACTGATCCAGAAGGAAACCGAGGCTGCCTTGAAGATGGCAGGAACTGTTCTCCCGAGGTTTCTGGAGCGGGGAGAGGAGACAAAGTCACTGCCCTTAGAACTGAGAGTTCCCCCACATGTCCTCTTTCTGTTAGAGCCCAGGCCAGTATATTGATGTACAGACTGGCTCCCTCCTCTCTCCTCTCAAAGCTGAAGACTGAGCTTTGGGAACTGGGGAAGGGAGACAGAACTGGATGGGAGACAGAAACGGATGGTGCTTTGGTTCGGGTAAGTCTCTCCCAAAGGAAATGTGCTGAAGGCTTGCTTAACAGTGTGGCACCACCGGAAGGGGAGGAGCCTTTAGGAGGCGGGGCATGGGGAGGTCTTCAGATGACTGCAGGTGAGCCCCTGAGGGGATGGTGGGACTCTAGCCCCTGCCTCTTGTTCTCTTTTGCTTCCATACGCTCCATGCCATGATCTGCTGCCTCCCCACAGACCCAAAGCAAAGGCCCAACCAATCATGGACTGAAACCTCCAAAGCTGTGGGCCATGATAAACCTTTCCTCTTTATAAGTTGATCATTTCAGGTATTTGTTATGACAGAACACTAATACAGGTGGTTTCCTCAGCGAGCCCACTGTTGTGTGATGGGAGCCTCATGAATGGTTTGTTCTGTCCTTGAGTCACCCTACGGGATCAATGGCAATGTAGGAATAGTATTGGATACAGGAATTGGGAAGTCTGGTATTAGAAATAAATGCAAATGAAGAATCTTAAACACAGGCAGGCTTCCCGGAGAAAGAAGACTGAAGAGGAATCCCAGTGGTATTTTCTAGTTCCTTAGACATTTGCGGTCCAAAGACAGGTTCTCACCCATGTCCACTTTGTGGTGCTGGTACCCTGTGCTGGTATATGTCACATGCTGGAGAATGAACTTCAAAAGCTCCCGGCTACTGGTTGAAATGATCAGCTGCTTCTGGCCTCTGCCCTGCACAATATCACCTGGGACATCAGCAAGAGTGTTGAATGTCCCCAGAGAAGCTGTCAGGGTGACCTAGGGTAGTATTAAGTTTATTCACATTATTATGCAACCATCATCCATTTCTATAACTTCTTCACCAATCCCAACTGATTCTTTGTATCCATTTAACAATAACTTCCCATTTTTCCTTCCCCAGGCCCCTGGCCCCTGGCAGAAAAATGCTAAATGCCAGGATAGGAAAGTATCTTTTCTCAGGTAAAGCACATGCACAGGATGACCAGCAGGGGGCAGAGCACAGAAGAGCTAGACAGGAGGGCTGAAGGACATTGTAGTTCTAGTTTTGCAGGGAATAGCTGCTGCAGCTGTATCCTCTCCTAGACCAAGTATTAGGACTCCTGTGTGTTTAAGGAACTGTTTCTGCAAACATAGGGTATTTCTTGGCTTGCAAGATTTCTTCTTATTCTTCTTATTAGATTTGTTCTTGCTATTATTCTGTGTTACTGAAATCAAACCTAAGACTTCACACATGCCAGGAGAGTATTCTACCACTGAGCCACACCCCCCAGCCGTACTCCTGTTTTTTTGTTTTTGTTTGTTTGTTTTTAAATATTTATTTTTAATTTTTTTTAGTTAGACACAATATCTTTATTTATTTATTTTTATGTGGTGCTGAGGATCGAACGCAGGGCCTCGCATGTGCTAAGCGAGCGCTCTACCGCTGAGCCACAACCCCAGCCCCTGTTTGTTTTAAGAGTACATTTTTATTTTATTATTTTTTATATACATATTTTTTTTTTGCTGGTGGTTTTTTGTTGTTGTTGTTATTGTTGTTGTTGTTGTTTTGGTATTGGATGCTTAATTACTGTACATCTCCAGCCCTTTTTTGTATTTTATTTAGAGACAGGATCTTTCTGCGTTGCTTAGGGTCTTCCTAAATTGCTGATGTTGGCTTTGAACTCACAATCCTCCTGCCTCAGCCTCCTGAGCTGCTGGGATTATAGGCATGAGCTACCATGCCTGATCTTACTGCTATTTTTGACAATTTGCCATCTCATTCTTACTCTAACCTTCAAAGGAGATTTTCAGGACTTGGTTGGAGACCCTTTCCCTTCTTACTTTATACTTTCTTGCTAAAGGATTTCATCCATTCTTATCACTTTAAAGAAAACAATTATTTATGATTGGTTTCAAACCAGCTCTTGTCTTTTGGTGATCTAGCTGCCTGGTTGGTGGTCTTGCTAGGAAACTTCCCAAGCAACTCCAACTCAGTGTCTTAGACACTGAATTACTGATAGTTTTGATACTGATAGAAACTACTGGATAGATACCCATTGCCCACTCACCCCCTTTCTCCCTGCTTGGTGAATGGCACTTTGTCCACTCACCTGCTCAAGCCCCCCAAAGGAAGTTTTTCTTGTTCTCTTCTTCTCCTCTCACCTACAGCCCATTGTGGGCAAGCCCTGCCAGCTCTATCTTAGACATGCAGCTAGCTGTACACCTCTTCTCTCCACCCCCACTGCCACCCTCCACGCTTACTCTCTGCTCTTGTCCTCTGCAATAATCAAGTAGATTTGTTTGGTTTTGGTGCTGGGGATAGAACCCAGAGTCACTTTACCACTGAGCCACATCCCCAGCCCTTTTTATATTTTATTTTGAGACAGAGTCTCACTAAGTTGATTAGAGCGTTATTAAATTGCTGAGGCTGGTCTTGAACTTGCGATCCTCCTGTTTCTGCCTCCTGAATTGCTGGGATTACAGTTGTGTGTCATCACACTCAGTGATAGCCAGGTATCTTTATGAAAATACCCAAAGGATTTAAAGTCAGCATACTGCAGTGACATAACCACATCAATGTTGACAGCAACTCAATTCATAAGAGATAAGCTATGGAACCAACCTAGGAGCCCCTCAACAGATGAATGGATAAAGAAAATGTGGTATATATACACAATGGGATTTTACTCAGTCATAAAAAAGAATGACTTTATGACTTTTTTTCCAGTAAATGGATGGATATGGAGACTATTATGCTAAGTGAAATAAGCCAATCCTTCAGACCAAAGGTTGAATGTTCTCTGATCTGTGGACATACAACAAGGTGTGTGTGGGGGAAATAGAAGTTCATTGGATTAGACAAAAGGGAATGAAAAAAAGTGAGGGGGGAAGGGAATAGAAAAGTCAGCAGAATGAATCTGACATAATATTCCTAGGTACATGTATGAATATACCACAGTGAATATCATTTACAACCTCAAGACTAGGATCCTAATTAGAATAAGATGTACTCCATGTTTGTATAAATATGTCAAAATATACTCTACTGTCATGTATAATTAAAAATAACAAGTAAAAAATCAATTGTAGGGGCTGGGGATATAGCTCAGTTGGTAGAGTACTTGCTTTGCATGCACAAGGACCTGGGTTCAATCCCCAGCACCACACACACACACACACACAAAGAATAAACTGTAATCCCAGCAGCTTGGGAGGCTGAGACAGGAGGATCCTGAGTTCAAAGCCAGCCTCAGCAACTTAGCAAGGCCTTAAGCAACTCAGCAAGATCCTATCTCTAAATAAAATACAAAAGGGGCCTAGGGATAAAGCTCAGCATTTGAGAGCCCCTGGGTTCAATCCCTAGTACAAAAAAAAAAAAAAAAAAAAAATCAACTGGATTGTCACTCCTGCTGAAAACATGATTTAATCAACAGCTACTCTCTGAGAATGAACATGGTATTCCAGTGAGGAAGACATCAACCAGCACAGAGCCACACACAGTTACTCAGCTACAGATAAGGACCATAAAGAAGGGAGCAGAAGGAACTGGGGGCATAGCTCATGGGTAGAACACTGGATTCCATCCCCAGCACTGCAAGCAAAAAATGTAAAAATAAAACAAAACAAAAGGGGCTGGGGATACAGCTCAGTTGGTAGAGTGCTTGCCTTGCATACACAGGCCCTAGGTTCAATCCCCAGCACCAAAAAAANAGGGGCTGGGGATACAGCTCAGTTGGTAGAGTGCTTGCCTTGCATACACAGGCCCTAGGTTCAATCCCCAGCACCAAAAAAAAAAAAAAAAAAAAAAACTAAAAACAGTGCAACAAGAAAGTGACAGTAACAAGGTTGGGGATGTGCTCAACGGGTGGGGGAACCAGAGAAGACCCACAGAGGACAGAATTAGCTCACTCATCACCATTCCAGCCTCTATCTGGCATGCAGAGGTAGGAAAACTAAAGTTACCTTTCACCCAGGGTACATCCCACCAATAAGATATCCCTTCAAAAGATCTCAACTTGGAGCATTCAGTAGGGAAAGAAGGACACTGAGCACTGTTGTCCTGCCAGCCCTGGCCCCAACAGAGGCCACACAAGCCAGAGGCCACACAAGCTAGCAGCTTTCTCTGCAGCAGAAATAGCAGCCTCCGTGGTGGCCCAATGCTTTGTATGGCCTTGGGAATTCTCTCCACAACTCCAGCCACCTCCAAGGCTGAGAAGATCATGCTTCTACACCCATCCTCCTCATGGCCCACCTTGGGCTCATGGGCTATTTCATCTGGATAAGGGCAGTAACGGCAGGATGCCCAGTGCAATGCTGGGAAGGGAAATCTTACCTCATAGACTGGGGCATCTGGACCTTCAAACTGGAGACCTGGAGAACACAGGGAAAAGGACAAAAAGCGCCATCTGAGAGGATGCCAAGGATCCCTGATGCTCTCCCCTAACTACACATCCTTGAGAGACTCTAAGTGTCACCAGCTTTCCAGAGTGTTGGCTGACAAACCTCTTCTCTCCAAAGCTGTCAGATGGTGCCACAGTCTTTCACAAACCCAAGTGGTTCTAAGGCCTCCAGGGCCCTTCCTCAGCTTTGGATGCTGGGAATTCACTCAGCTCCTTCCTGGTACTGAAGGGAAGGCAGCAATGGAGACATCCTTAGACAAGGGATCTGGATTTGTAAAATTCACAGAGATAGAAAGGAGAATGGGGATTGCCAGAGGCTGGGGAATGAGGAGTTGTTGTTAAATGGGTATTTAGTACCAATTGTAGCTGGGTACGATGGTGCATGCCTGTAATCCCAGAGGCTCCGGAGCCTGAGAAAGGAGGCTCCTGAGTTCAAAATCAGCGTCAGCAACTTATCAAGGCCCTAAACAACTCAGCAAAAGTCTGTCTCTAAATAGAATATGAAAAATGGGTTGAGGATGTGGCTTAGTGGTTGAGTGTCCCTAGGTTCAATCTCTAGTACCAAAAAAAAAAAAAAAGTACCAATTGGAGGGCTGGAGGTGTGGCTCAGTGGTAGAGTGCTTACAGAGCATGTGCAAGGCCTTGAATTGCATCCCCAGCACTGTGGAAAATAAAAATAAAATAAAAAGTTTCAGTTGGGAATTGTGAAGAAGTTCTAGAGATGTCTAGAGATGGGTGATGGTTGTACAAAAGTGTGAATATACTCAATGCCGCTGAACTATATGCTTTAAAATGGTCAAAATGAGGGTCAGGGTTGTAGCTCAGTGGTAGAGTGCTTGCCTCTCATGTGTGAGGCACTGGGTTCAATCCTCAGCACCATATAAAAAATAAATAAAATAAAGATATATTTTAAAAAGTTATCTTCTGGGGCTGGGGATATAGCTCAGTTGGTAGAGTGCTTGACTCGCATGCACTAGGCCCTGGGTTCAATCCCCAGCACCAAAAAAAAAAGGTTATCTTCTAAAAAAATGGTCAAAATGACAGTTTGTGTTGTACATATTTTACCATAATAAAAAGTATCATCCCAAATAGAAAAGCGTTTTTAAATAGCTATTCAAAAGCTGGGGATGGTGGCACACACTTGAAATCCCATCTACTTGGGAGGTTAAGGCAGGAAGATCTGAAGTTCAAGTCCGGCCTGGGCAACTTGATGAGACCCTGACTCAAAATAAAAAGGGCTGGGGTTGCAACTCAGAGTTAAAGCACTTGTTCAGCATATGGGAGACCTTGGGTTCAATCCCCAGCACCAAAAAAACAAAAAACAACAATAACAAACAAACAAACAAAAAAAAAACTATTCAAATCCATTATCAATTCACTCCAAATGTATTTACTTTAAAATCTCTATTTTTATAATATGTTTAATTGTAATTTAGACACACCTTCTTTATGTGGCCTGAGTAAGCTTACTAGACTCTTACCGTCTAGAGAATTGGCAATATAGATAGAGTTTATTTCAGGGCCGGGGTTGTATTTCAGCTGTAGAGCCTTTGAAAAGCAACAGGGCAGGAACAGAAATGAAGGGAGCCGGCTCACCTGGAAGAGGGGCTGAGGCTCGGCCCTGCTACTCCCTTCCCTTTGTCCCATCTGGGAGGCTCGGCCCCAGCTCTGGTACCTGCCTCTGGCACTTACTCATTGCTTCCTGTTTGACTTGTGACTTTAGGTAATTTGGCTCTTGCTCATTGATACAGGACCTAAAGAGGGCTCATCTGGCTCCAGGAGATATGCCCCATCCCAGCTGTCATTGCCACCCAGAATATACTTGAAGAGTTCATGGTGGGGCTGTTTGCCTCAAGATCCCAGAGCAGAAGAGTCCATCAGCCCAGCCCACTGAATCCACCATCTCTGCACTGGGGGAAGACGTGCACATGCAGGCTCATGTTTCTTGTCTCTTCTGGTAACACTGCACTTGGCTTTGAAAAGGGATGTGATGCTGAACTAGAGGGATGTGTAAAAATCTACCATGGAGGGAGTTCTAACCAGCAGAAATAAGCTTTTCAAAATGCCCTCCCTGGAGACCGGCTCATGTGTTGCCTTTGCCCTTCATGCTAAAATACTCCCAAGAGTCAACTTTGCCCTAAGATGCTTAGAGACACACAGCTGTCTGCCTTCTTCTGTATTTTCTTTGTTCCCCAGGAAGATCACAGCCACTAAGGGAGATTGCCAGTGGTGGAACCAGGGAGGTTAACATTAAATGACATCACACCAAGCTTTTTGAGTTGTGCTGTGTATACAGCTGGCACTCAATGAGTGACTCCTTCTTCTCCCTCCTTTTTCCCTAAGGAGAGTAAGAATAATGTCTGCAGCCTCTAGGATGCTGGTATACCTACCTGGGATGAGAATCGTGTGCAGGGGCATCACCTCTACTCCGTGCACTGGGTACCCAAAGGGGATGTTGGGCTGGGCCAGCAGGGGTGGTGGGCGTGGCAGCCCTTCTCTGCAGGAGAATGCAAACATGAGCAGCTGCCCTGATGCTGGTCCTGTGGTTGGTCCTCAAAGTGGTCCCTGCACACACAGCTTTGCCCTTCCCATGTTGAGAAATCAAAAGTAGATTGTTCCTGTCACCCTCCCCCATATCTTTATTTTCACTCCTCACCTCAAGCTCTATTCCACAAAGGTACTGGGGCAGTATACAACAAAGCACATAAATATTAAAAAAGATAACAAAAAATGAAATTATCAGATGATGGGGGTCAACCCTCCTGCAGTAGCTCAAAACCAAGGTCATATCTGTACTTCCTGGTAGCCAGGTATAAAGTGATTGACAGTACACTGTCCTTATTATCAACAGGGAGATGCAGATCCATTCTGGAAGGGAAGGAATCTTTCTCCAGTATTAAACTAAAAAATTAGCTGTATCACAAGAAACTTGATTGTTGAGTGGTTGTTATCTCAATATTTGTAGAGCAAACCCAGTAACTATTTTTATGGTTTGCTATAGTTGTTGATATCCTTCAGTCAATGGCAAAAGCATACCAATCCAGGAAGAATGAGTCTTTGAAGGACAAAACTGTGGTTAAAATGTAACTTTGAGGGATCCAGTTAACTAAGCATATCACTTAAATTACCTTGGGAAAAATTAGACCATTCCAGTGAATATGCATGCAAATAAGAAAAGGATAAAATTTTTAAATGAAAAATGGCATAAATAGGCAAATGACAATAAACATGTGAAACATGCTTCACTACCATATCAATCAAGAAATGTGTATTTAAAAAATAATGAAGCTTGTAATCCCAGTGGCTCAGGAGACTGAGGCAGGAGGATCGCAGGTTCAAAGCCAGCCTCAGCAATTTAGCAAGGTCCTAAACAACTCAGTGAGACCCTGTCTCTAAATAAAATCCAAAAAAGGGCTAGGGATGTGGCTCAGTTGTTGAGTGCCCCTGAGTTCAATCCCCGGTACCCCCCCCAAAATAAATAAATAAATAAAAATAATGAAATACTTTTCAAATTGAAGTTTTAAAATGGTAAAAGCAGTGGCTGGGGAATGTGGCAAGCGGTAGCATGCTCGCCTGGCATGTGTGCGGCCCGGGTTCGATCCTCAGCACCACATACAAACAAAGATATTGTATCCGCCGAGAACTGAAAAATAAATGTTTTAAAATTCTCTCTCTCTCTCTCTCTCTCTCTCTCTCTCTCTCTCTCTCTCTCTCTCAAAAAAAGGACTGGGGATGTGGTTCAGTGGTTAAGGGCCCCTGGGTTCAATCCTGGGTGCCAAAATAAATAAATWAAAAAAAATGAATACAGTGTAATGAGAAAATGGTAACAAATACTCAAAGCTCATCACTTCTTAAGTATTTTACTATTAACTCTGATCTTGAATCTCTTTCTGTACAGTGGAGATATTTTAGAATTGTGACCTACTAGATGTCTCTTTCCAACTCCACATCCAGTAACGTCATACTGGTAACTTAAAATCAGCTATGGTATGGGAACCTGGCAAACACTCCAAATCAGGGTGGCCCTGCTTGGAGGCCATTTAACAACACCCTCAATAAATAACACTCACACTCACGAATATCCTTTAGACTTTTAAAAGCACAAATGATGGTATACTGTGCAATCTTCTTACATCTTGCTTTTTTTTTTACCTAATAGAGCTCTGTTCCCTACCAATGCATCTAGATTTACCAAATTCCTTTTACTACCTGAAACTTTTGTCCTCAGAATTGCTCCTCTGTGCTGGAAGTGAACCACACTTAAGAGTTCTGCCCAGAGTCCCACATTATTTAATAGCATCCTGTCTGCCAGGCCTGTGCTAAACTGGAGACACAGAAATACACGAAGCCCCTTTCCTGGAAGAATGGGAACCCAGACCCAGGCCCAGATGCCAATAATGAAAACACTAAGCCATCTTTTCAATAACAAAGAGAAAGCTGGGCTTTGACTGAAACTTGTTCTCGAATATTCTTTTCTCAATTATCAGATATGGAATCCATTCTCCCTCCCAAGATCTTCCATGTCACTCCCTCTAACTACTATGATAACACTGAGCTTTGAGTTGAACTCTTGAGCTTCCACCCAACTTGTTAAATACATTCCATGGACCACTGACTGTTCACATTCACTCACAATTCAACACTGGGTTCCGTCACTCTGTCGCTATAGGGGCACACAGGGAGTGTTAATGTGAATAGACACTTGATTATGGGTTAGGGTGCACTTACTATCATAAGCTCTTTGAGTGCAGGGTCTGTATTAGATTTATCTCTATACCTAACTCACACCTTTCTCAAAGCAGGCATTCACTGTATTTCAAGAGTTAAATAAGAAAGATGTGAGGAGTTGAGTGTGGTGGCACACATCTGTAATCCCAGCGGCTCAGGAGGCTGAGGTAGGAGGATCCTGAGTTCAACGCCAGCCTCAGCAAAAGCAAGGCCCTAAGTCACTCAGTGAGACCCTGTTTCTAAATTAAAATACAAAATAGGGTTGGGGATGTGTCTCAGTGGCCGAGTGCCCCTGAATTCAATCCCCAGAACCAAAAAAGAAAAGAAAGAAAGATTCGAGGAACATCATGGAGGAGCTGAACTGAGCATCTCTCTGCCCAGCTAATTTTTACTTTCTTTCCTCACATAATAATTGCATCATGATTTTGGTATAGAATAATATTCACTGTGTATATTATTGAAACTATGTTCTTGGGCTGGGGAGGTGGCTCAAGCGGTGGGGAGGTGGCTCAAGCGGTAGCGCGCTCGCCTGGCATGCGTGCGACCCGGGTTCGATCCTCAGCACCACTTACCAACAGGGATGTTGTGTCTGCCGAGAACTAAAAAATAAATAAAATTCTCTCTCTCTCTCTCTCTCCTCTCTCACTCTCTCTTTAAAAAAAAAAAAAAGAAAGAAACTATGTTCACATTAATCATGAATAAGCCATAGATTGTTTTTTGCCAATTGCTACATTTTCTTTGCCAAACTTATACTTCCTTGTTTGCTTAAAAACTTTCTGTACGTCATTGATACTTGACCTTGGAAGTCTGAGCCAATAGTATAAGTCTCTCGGTATATTTAAATGTAATAAGCAGTGTCTGTTTCTCCTCTGTCACAGATATGTCTCCTACAGCCTTATTTCTGTCCCTCTGTTGACCACTTAGGCTTTGCTTGATGCATACCTGTCTTCACCACCATCCACGTCAACCATTATTATTGGGCTCGGTTGGCTTTTGTTCATTCCTATATTGTTTAGTATAATCCCAAGAGCACTGGGCATTTCCACAGGGGGAGGAGGGGAAGATGCGGACATGCCCAGGAACTTCTCCAGCTCCATAGCCTTCCCTGCTTGGAATCAGTCTCTTCTGATAATTCCTCTGCCCAGCTCCCTCCACCCTAGCACTCCACCCAGGACCCTTAACCTTTCCCTGGCTCTCCCCATCTCACCCCCCTGGGACTCTTCAAACACCTTTCTCTTTTGTTTCCTTCCCCACCTGGGATATTCCCTCCTGGTGACAACCAACAGTTCCCAGGGTGGAGGCAGAAGCTGGCTAACTATAGGAACATGTCCCCTGTGCCTCCCCTTACACCGTTCTCTCATTTTATGCATGTTTACAGAGTATTTCTTTGTGTCAGCCACTGTCTAAGGTTTGGAGTCTCTGTGTACAAAAATGTCATGAATCAGTGCCAGAGAGAAACTGGGAGACGATCAGACATATGGTCTCAAGGTGAGAACTTGTTACACCAATGTATGGCCATCTCTATACTTAGATTGTTATTATTTGTTTATTTTGCAGTACTGATAATAGAACTCAGGCCTTACATATGCGAGGTGCGTGTCCCACCACTAAGCTGTATCTTCAGCCCTTTTCGTATCTCCCCACTGTCCTATAATCTCACAGAGAACAGGATGATCATGATGAAGGTGTTCAATCATATTACAAAGCAGATACAGTTTTAAGCCCTTTCCATCTATCAACTCCTTAGATCCTTAGGATGACCCTAAGAGCCAAGTACCATTATTGTGTTACAGAGAAGGCTAAGCAGATTGGCCAAGGTCACTAGCAGAAGGTGGAGGCTATAGGACCTGAGTGCAGCTGGCCTGCCTCCCATGCCCCAGCCCCATTGCTTTGCACATAGTCAGATGTGCCAGGTTCAAATCCATGGCAGAATCACCTGTGTATCCCATTGGCTATGTGGTTTTCAACACTCCCTTCCTACTGGTGCCTGAATCTCTCTCCCAGGGACTCCTCTACTTGCATGTGATTTGGGGATAGTGGCTCACTCCAAAAATCAAACACAGAGGGATTTGACTGGGTCCTTCTCTTACTTTTGATTCATGACTTTGGCTCAGTCAACAGAACACTAAGGTAATGACCTGGGGACAGTATATTGCAGAGTTAATGACAACATAGGCACCAGATGGCTCTGGGGCCTGACCAGACCTTTAGTGTCCCCTTGGCTCTTGTCCAGCTTCCAGCCTGCCCATTTTACCATCTAGGGATTTGGTGAAACCCCAGAATCCTTTCCACCAATTCCCTCTTGATATCAGCCAGAGAATCAATTTCTTCCCTTTTCAACTAAGAGTCTTGGTTGATACCCGCTGAATGTTTGCACCTCTTGTAATTAAAAAAAAAAAAAAAAAGTGACATTCCCCCTTGCACAAATGGCAGGTGAACTGTATGTTCCCAATATACAAATGAATAAAATAGTGCAACTTGGTGATGAGTACAGAGCGACCCACTGAGATGCCTGGGTGCATGGAGGCTCTCCCACCATCACCCTAACAACTAGTTTCAAAATACCTCCATTCCTTTTTCTTCTTCTGTTATGAAATATTTTATGCATGTTCTATAAAACTTCTCTTAAGGACCATGTCCTCAATTCCCTTCTCATTTATTCCCGATAGCTCCTGCCAAGAGAAGGAAATCCTCTTTTTTTTCTTAGGATCCACTCCAATTCTCCCCAGATCCACGATCCCCCCAGCCCGCATTACCTCCTCTGAAAGTGTTCAAATTCAGCCTGTCTCCTTGCCTTCACCGCTGGGAGCTCGCTTTGATTATAGGCATCCTGAAAGTTATAACCTCCTTGCTGATGGGTGGTTTCACATTTGCACTGCTTTTTAGGAAACAGCCTAGAGGAAGCAAGAGGGAGCAAGAGGGCTGTAAACTTGGGTTGGGTGGGAGGGAACCTGAGGTCCAATTCAGTGTGTCCTTAGCCCTAAGGATCTCCTTTATCACACACTTGAGATCCTGGAATCCTCCAGCAGAGACACAGGTAGGGAGGGAAGGGAGAATTGAAGATTCCCTCCTCTCTCCTCTCTCTCATGATATTGACATTGATCTCTCTCTCTCTCTCTCTCTCTCTCTCTCTCTCTCTCTCTCTCTCTCTCTCCATATATATCTCCCCATCCATCCCAGGCTGGGCTTGCAATCCTCATGCCTCAACCTCCCAAGTCACTGGTATTACAGGCATGAACCTCAGCATCTGGCTTCCCCTCTCTTGAATTGTCCCCTTCACCTGAGAGCCACAGGAACCTCAGCAATGTCCCAGTCCCATGAGGAGGGGAGGGCAGAGCAATAGGAACGAAATGTCTCCCTTTAGTCTTGGCCCATTGGGTCCTCCAAGTATTAAGGGATTTTGCTGAGTGCTACAGAGAACAGAGATTGTGCTCTGTAGACCAGGCTCTCTCCTGGTAGACCAGGCTCCTACAACTAGGAATCACTTTAGCAGATCAGCAGAGGTTCAGGAAGGCAGGGAGCTGTCTGTACACTGGGCATAGCGGGGCTCTGCCCACATGAGAGGCAAGGAAGAGAGAGCAGGAGGGCGAGAGTGGAGAGAGAACACTCAATGGCTCACCAGATTCCATCATAGGAAAACAGTTTCCGGAGGCGCTCCTCAGGAAKAAGTTTCAGCGGCAGGTGCGCATGCTCTGGCTTGAAGCTGCGGAATGCTACTGGAAGGGACACACTTCTGAATACAACTAGGACAATGCTGAGTACCAAGATGAAGGCCCACGCCTTGAGGAGCCACAGATATCTAGAGATGATGGAAATACAAAAAAGCAAAACACTTTAACAACTCTTCCTCCTCCTCCTCCTCCATTTCCTCCTTCTATTCTGGGGGGCTGGGGATGGAACCCAGGGACTCTGCTCTTGCTACATCCCCAGATTCATTAAAATCTCTTTTTTTAAACTTCATAATAAATGGCATGGTTACATGATATAAATGAGAACAGTAACTTGAGGAAAAAKGCAAGTTGAACCTGCTTCTTATACTGATCACCAAAATTGGTTTCTGATAGAGTGAAAGAATCAAGTTGCAATAAAAGTATTCAGAAACATTTCAAATAAAAGTGAATAAAACTGTCTCCAAAAAATGAAGAAAAAAATATAACAGTGGTCCACTTTATACTGTGAATATAGCCCTTGCTGCTCTGATACTCTAACTTATTTTTTAAATGGACTTGTTTCTTTCTGTTCCTCTCTAGATCCTCCCTAATCCCATGGGCAAACAGGATTATCTTTCTTCCCCATCCTAGGCAGAATTATCTGTACACACACACATGCCACAGGACCAATGTAATTCAGACTTAGGGATAGAACCAGAAGTTCTCAGAAACGACTGTCTCCCAAATCAACAAGTGAATTACACCTCCAACAGAGAACACATGGACTGTAGCCTTTGGGTCACCTCTTTAAAAACTGCCTGCTCCCCTGGATGGGCAGAATCACAGGCCCTGGGACAGGAGTTCCCTGTGTTTCTTCTTTGCTAGCAAAGCAATAAGACTTCTTTTTCCTTTTACTCAAAACCTTGTCCTTGTTATTGCATGGGCATCAGGGACAAGAAGCAAGCTTTTGGTAATACTCGCCTAATATGTGCAAAGCCCTAGATTTGATTCCCAGCACAAAGAAAAACAAAGATACCTTCTGATTGTGTATTTTGTCACCATATTCATTTTATGATTCATGACGCTTTGATAGCACAGATACATCAAAATGGAGTTGGGTGTGGTAATGCACACCTGTAATCCCAGCTCGCTACCACAGAGAATGAGGTTCAAGATCAACCTAGCGAGATCTCCAGTCAGAAAAAGGAGGAGGAGGAGGAAGAGAAAGGAAAAGAAACACCTTTAATAGGTGTAAGGTCCTTGCTTACCATCTGGGTGGCTATCCTAAGTAACAGCCCCCATTTTCCTGCCCAAGGGAATATTATCACTCCCTCAAACCAACCTCACCCTTAATCACCCACATTCGGACCCACCTGGCTCTAATGCCTGAGCCTCTCTCATAAATGTCCCAGAACTCGGAGCTGGGGTGTGACTCAGCAGTAGAAGGCTCGCATAGCCCATGCAGAACGCTGGGCTGGCTCCTCATCACCAAATAAAAATAAAATAAAGGCATTGGATCCAACTACAACTAGAGACAAAATATTAAAAAAAAAAAAAAAATCCCAGAACTCAAGCTTGTGTTGCCTGTCTCTACTATGGAAGGATGTTGCTTTTATTTTCAGCTCTGACAAATAAACTTTCTCATGTGTATCTCTGGCTGGTCTCCGTGTTTCATTACTTGCTCGCCCATTTCCCGCTTTCTCCCTTTCCTTTCAATAGGAAAGTCTAGATGTTTAAATATGCGTCAGAACTTTTAAAGATATCTGCATGGTGAAAAATAACTCTGAAGTAAGAAGAGTAATGTTGCCAAAATCTTGGTCCCGGTCTCCAATGCCAATTCAATAACCAGGACACGGTTTTGAGAAAAAGGAAAAAGAAGGTTTATTGTTTTACAGGAGACTTCTGTCCCAGAGGCTGTGATTCTGCC